AAGGTGCAAAAGCCATTTGGTCGTAGTGCCATCGAAATAGACGGCATATTTTCGAACTCTCAGAATTCGGGACTCACTTGATTGCATATGAGCATTGGCAATCGCTTATCTGCTCAACATCGAATCTGCTCAACATCGAATTGACACAGCTACTCTTGGAAGATATATATTGCAATCGAGGTTTATCTCTAAAAGTTGCAGTGTTTTCGAATTTCGATCCGATTCCTGAGAGGACAAAGTAGTGAGGGTCTGGAAAGTTGGAAGTTTCATTTCAAGTGAAAAAATGTGGCTTTACGATGGAGAGGCACGAAGTGCAGAGAAACCATTGTGTACTAGTTATACCTTCATAAGATCTCGGCTACAGAACAGTAGCAGTTATGCAGAACAACAAGATTGACCGAAAGCATACGACGTGGGAAGGACCCTTCACCTGTGATATTCATTAGTGCGTGTTTGCTTATGTTTATACGTTCATATTATAATACGTAGATTGATAACATGTTAACAGAAGAAAAATTGACAAATAAGTTAGCCTTACTTACAACCAATTTAGAATATGTACATAAAAAAAAGGTTCAACGCATATGGCTTGTCGTATACACTCATCTTTCTTCACCCTTGTGCCTTTGTATTCTTTTCATTTTTTACAAGTCAATGTCCATTTCATATCACAAAACTACAATAACCATGATTTATTAATTATAATTCAGATATCTGACGTACTTCCTATCGTATTAAGAAATTAGGAATTGGGACAAACCATACATATCATGGTAACGTCTTCCTGCATGTGCACAAGACTGACAAACACAACACAAGAAGCGCCCGACTCTTGTGCCTGTAGAAACAAAATACCAAGGTTTTTTTTTTTTTTTTTTTTTTTTTTTAAATTTTTTTTTTTTTTTTTTTAAAGAGAAGTAAATACTAAGTTAAACGGGAGGTGGATTGTCTGTCCTTCCATTTTCATACTTTTTTCATCCCCTCCTGTTTGTGTGGTCACGGTTAAGTTACATCAATATTTTATATTGATTTTTTTATAAAAATAATAAAACAAAAAGTAATAAGAATATAAAATGTTGACGTGTCTTAACCGTGACCATAAAAAACAACAGGGGATGAGAAGAATATGGAAATGGAAGGATAGACAATCCACCTCCAGTTAAACAACCAATAGACCTCGAATAAATTGTTAAAAAATAAGCCAACTATATATGTCATACCGATGCACCACCAACTATTTATTATACCATATAGTAGGAGTAGCATATTCCACGCAGATGGTTCGGAGGCCATTCAACCCACTACAGACCTCTGTGACTGAGGTATGCAGATCAAAAAGTTCGGAGCACTTAATTTCAATTTTACGTTTCATATGAATTCATCTTATTAATTTGCTTAACAAAAATTAAAATTTGAACAATTTAAATTTCATTGTTAAATTTCTTTATAAGTTCTGAATATAAAGATCGGAGTGGATTCAAATCCATAGGTCGTGGACTCAATTTTTATCATTAAACACATTTGACTAATGAAGCTTACATCATTAAGAAAAGGCAATAAAACGAGCATTATCTCATAAGCATGGATCCTTTGGTTCCACGCACAATAGGGCATCTCCCTTGAAATATTATTATTTAGGGTTTTTGGCATCACGAGCGACAGTTGGTGCCGACTCGTATCTGACTAGACACTTGCGTGGCATACATTTTCCCTCATTGTTATTTTTGGTAAAGAAATGCTAAAAAGATATTTTTAAAAGCACGTTTTTTATGAGTTTTTTATTATTTTTTATTATTTTATAATATTTCATATTAACACAAAAATTAACATCATAATAATTATGAAATGGGAGAGAATACGCGAAGAGAAAGAGCATTCTTAGCATTTCTTTTTCGGGAATCCAAATATTACCGTACTCTGACCTTTCTGCAGATAGTTGCACATTTTAAATCTCCAAATGATTCCGGGACCATCGTGTGGGTAGGTGTGTCAACGGTTACAAAATATCATCCCATATATTATTCACGTGGAAGTTAGTCAGTGCTAGACGTGCAACAAAACCTGGCCCCACAACAAGAAAATTTTAGTTACGATAAAAATACGAGTAGTACATCATGTATTTTATGTAAATTGTAAAAATTTTTATTTTTTAAGTTATTAACTTTTTAACACACATATCTCACTATTTATATAGCAACACGTGGTGGTGTACCATCCCGTATGACAGTCATATTGAAAAATCTCTCTCCCACGACAACAGATAGTTCATGTGGTACTCAATAACTTGTGCGAAGCGGAAACACAAAATAATTGTAATTTAAACCAAACATGCATTATCACATAAAGAGCATGCAAGACCACTTACACTTTTTTTGTTTTTTTGGCAATGGTTCGTGAAAAAACAACACAACATCGTACAATTGTTTTCGGAAGGGAAGATTTATAACAAAGAACGTGACTGCATTTGAATTTAATCATGCAAGAGTATTCTTGTGTTAAGTTTGTCTGTTTGTAACACTACTAAATCGCTCTCATTTCAGATAGTGTAGGTAAGTTTTTAACAGTAGCTAGGGAACTCCTCCTATAAACCTGGTAAGCCCATTTATGTTTTTTTTGAGAAAATGTACGATATTTATTGAAGAAGAAACAACGTACAATCTACAAGGATAGGGCCCATAATGGGTCTCAATAAAAACCTTACTGAGATCAGACGAATGGAAAAAAAATGTCCCACACAAAAATAAAAAAACGAACTATCCTCCAAAACTACAATCAAGTAAGAACTACATATTACTATCATCCATGAGAGCATCCGAGATTAATGAAAAGAAGAAAAACAAATTTCTTGCTTGTAATTAAAGAGTTGATATTGGAAAATTTGGTGAAACTCGCACTAGTTAAAGAAAAAGCAGGATTATAGGATAATTAGGTCAAATTAGGTGAAATATTCAAATGTGGGGTTAAAGAAAATTTATGTATTTGATTTCCTACAATTATCTTTTGATTGATTGGTGAATCAGGATGTTTTTCTCATTGGCTAAATTGTGGATAACCAAAATATTTAATCCATAAAACTATCCTTCTTTGGTCGAAAAATTAATAAGATGATTATATCCTGATTGTCCTAAATGATCTCTTATCTATTCACAAAGAAAATGATCCACATGTATTAAAAAACTGATCTCATATTTGAGGTAATTACTTTAAAGGCATACTTGTTGATTTACTCCTTGATTTTGTATCGAGCTGCTAATTTTCCTTTTAAATTTAATTTTAGCTAATTATTCTCATAATTAGCTAATTTTTCCTTGAACATTAATTTTATCCAATTACCCACCTGAACTTTTGTATATAGTCAATTCCTCCTTGCAATTAGATTTTAAAATTTTTCATCTAATTTTCTTCTATCTTGATCACGTAAATAATGGGTAAATCAACAGTACCTCTTACTTCAAATGTTTCTCTTTTTGGTTACATCATCTAAATCATCTTTGAAAGATATTACTAATCAAAATTAAATTCATTACTAATCAAAATTAAGTTCTCTGTGGGGACAACATGCAGGACAATACGGACGCCTGCTTACGTGAATCTGACTGTGCATTTCGTGGAATACACTCACCAGTCGTGAATATCTGTTGAGGAAAATCATGCATCCATATGGTACTTGCTAATTCAGTTACTTCCAAACAGGAATAATTTTAGAGAGATTATATTCACACATTTCAAATTATTTCTTCTACATTTTTTTTAATTTTTTAATATTTTCTACATACCACTAACACAGAAAAATATTAAAAAATTAAAAGGGGGTGAGAGAAGTAATTTGGGATGTGTGAATATAATCTCTCTAATTTTATACTCATATTTATGCACCGTTGAAAAATTAATTACTACTTAATAGTATTTGTGAGAAATTTTTCTGTATAATTATAACATTGTGTAGTAATTGTTCCATTTGTATCGTCATGTTATAACATGTGTATTAGGGTTTATGATAGTGCTATTCACACACTTTTACTTTCTATACACCCTTATTAATTTTTAGTCATTGATCTTTTTTAATTTATTCGATCCAACGGTACAAAGTTAAACTAGGTGTGTGAGAAGTAAAAATATGTGTGTGGATGACACTACCTTATAAATAATATCGTGATTGTAATACTCAAAATTTCTTTTATTTGAGGTGTAGTTTACCTCCTATGAGGGATATATGCAAAAGTGCGATGTAACAGTCTAACACATGGTAGTATAAAATTTGGGAAAACCATAATATCTATAAATTGTTATCTGCACTCTAAAATTTATTAGCACTTCAAAATTTTTATTTTGCACTTTAATTTTTTTATATTAAAAAATATACTAACGAAGAATATGAGATTTTTAGAGTACAATAACAGTTTCCTATCCTTGAGGGATCTAACTTTTAATATATACCTAATTTTCGCCAACTTTCAAAGTCACAAATGTAGTATTATATCAAGTTTATATCCTCCTATCATGTAATTTTTTACATCTCAATTACACAGGGAGCTTAAGGGGAGGGATCTCCATTTTTTCAAAAAAAATTGGGACACGCTCCCCACCGTTAGATTGACTTTAATGAAATTGTGTGGTTGAGATTAAAACACAGGCCATAGAATCTCAACCACAGGATTTCATTTAATTCAAATCTAACGGTGGGGAGCGTGTCCCCATTTTTTCAAAAAAATGGGGATCCCTCCCCTTAAGCAATTCCCTCAATTACAATATCAAAGGCGGGAGAAAGTAAACTTCAAGATCCCAATCACGATGAAAATTCCAATCCCTAGAAAAGAATGGAAAAAAGTGTGATGGTAACGGATTATAATACTTTGGTTTTGGATTATTATCGATAGTGGATATAAATATATGCATATTAGATTTCACCATATATGATTTTATAATCTATATATTGCAACTTGGACCAAATCTTAATTTTATAATTCCATATGCCCACCGGCTTCCAACCCTAAGTATAAATATTACACCAAGAACCGCTCTGTTCCCATCAGAAAAGAAACCTACTCCGTGTCTACCTTCTTTTATTTTGGGTGCAAACCTACTCTCTGTATCTCAAACACGGAAAAAAAAAAAAGCAAGCAAAAAAATGGGTAAGGGAGGCAAAGCTGCTGAGCCAGAAAACATGGGTGCTTGGCTTCTTGGTGTTAACAACATCAAGATCCAACCTTTCAAGCTTCCCAGTGTGGGTATGCACCAACCCTAAATCTTTTTATTTCGTTGCAGTTTCCTTTCGGTTTTTAGTTTTCAGACGAGATATTTATGATCATATTGGCTTACATCTTGCTCCATTTTCTTGGATTTCTTAACTTTAGGGCCCAATGATGTTCGCGTTCGGGTCAAGGCTGTCGGCATTTGTGGAAGTGATGTTCACTACTTCAAGGTTCATCTCCCTTCCATGCCCTTTCCCCTGTTTTTAATAATTTTTTTTTTTAATTTTGAATTTTTGATGATTTTAGATGACATTGTTTATTCCTGAAATAAGAATGAAATCAAAGCAGAAACATTGATAATTTTCTCTGTTATATCCGACAGCTCCGTACTAACCACTTAGGTTTTCTCTTCTTTTTTTTTGTTTCGGTTCATTTTTCAGACAATGAAATGTGCAGATTTTGAAGTTAAAGAGCCAATGGTAATTGGCCATGAGTGTGCTGGGATCGTTGAGGAAATCGGGGGCGAGGTGAAGCATCTTGCTCTCGGAGATCGTGTGGCGGTAGAGCCCGGGATCAGCTGCGCACGGTGCCAGCAGTGCAAAGGTGGAAGGTACAATCTCTGCCCGGACATGAAGTTTTTTGCCACCCCACCGGTTCATGGTTCCTTGGCAAATCAGGTAAAAATATTCACAATCATAGAATTTTATAGGCTTTGCGCCAGATCGATATTGCAGCATCGCAGACCTTAGGCTTGTCTGATAACCATTTCGATTAACAGATTGTACATCCTGCGGATCTGTGCTTTAAACTCCCGGAGAATGTGAGTTTGGAGGAAGGGGCAATGTGTGAGCCCTTGAGTGTAGGGGTTCATGCTTGCCGGAGAGCCAATGTCGGTCCGGAATCAACTGTTCTGATCATCGGAGCCGGCCCCATTGGTCTGGTTTCTGTTCTGGCTGCCCGTGCTTTCGGGTCACCAAGAATCGTCATTGTGGATATGGATGACCAGCGTCTAGCGATGGCGAAGTCTCTTGGTGCTAATGACACCGTCAAAGTTTCGACAAAAATGGAAGATTTGGATGATGAAATTGCCCAGATTAAGATAGCCATGAAGTCCGACGTGGATGTGAGCTTCGATTGTGTCGGTTTTAACAAAACCATGTCAACCGCTCTTGGTGCCACCCGTCCCGGCGGCAAAGTTTGCCTCGTCGGAATGGGACACGGCACGATGACAGTCCCACTTACTCCAGCTGCTGCCAGGTATAAAGCGACTCCATTTCGTGTCCTTTTTCTACCTTTTCTCGATAAGAATGTCCTACATCAATTATTTTTTTAGGCATTGTGGATCAATAGTGTAATTGCAAATAACTTTTGTTTCAGAGTTTTGTTTGCTTTATCTGATAATTAGGGTTTTGTCTTTTGAACACAGGGAGGTTGATGTTGTAGGAATTTTCCGGTATAAAAACACATGGCCGCTTTGCCTCGAGTTTTTGAGAAGTGGGAGGATCGCTGCCGCCGTGAAGCCTGCTCTCTTATCGCGACGAGTTCTTATCTCTTGGACAGCTGGTTCTTGGGTCGTGAATGCGACAAAGTGAGGTTGAGTTATGCAATTAAGGAAACCCCATGGTGACCCGAATTTTAAGGGGGGAATTGCCATTAAGACGAAATCATGTTTTATTTTGAGATGATATAGATGACGCTACCACTAAATACTTGTGATTTCGGCATCACTTCCACTATAGCACGCTTATCTGTCTTGAGAATTGGCTTTGGAAGAGATTTGGATATAGTCTCCGAATCACATCTATCATGTTTCACATACAATTATCAACGAGAATCCTTTGAAAATAGATTATGGAAACCTCTGTTGATCGCTCGAGACAGAGACCCAGTGATACCTTCAATTAACCTTGGTTCGATTTTTTATTATTTTTTTTCTCGTTTTTTACTTTTTAACTGGTATGCTTGAATTTGACCATCCGATATTAGTACATATGAAGAAAGGCCCATACATGTAAGATTGAATGCCAAAAAGGGTCCTCTCTTAAATAACGAGGCATGTCTTTCTTGCTAGACATATCAACAACAAGGGTGTTGTTCATCTCTAACTACAGGTTTGGTGGGCCTTCTCTCATTTCCTTTGATATACGCCCTCTCAGACACTCGCTGTCACACTAGGGACGCACTTTCACATACCTTCATATCTCGGTTCCGGACATTGTTGTTAGAGATTTCATGAGTATAGATGAGAATAGAAATATTGAAATTGAGTGAAAAACTAGGGAGGAATTGCGGAAAACTCACATATATAATATAATGGAAGAGGCGACAAAAGGACCTTCACCATACTCACAGGCTAAGACGCTCTCTGATGAGTTTACAGACCTCACTTTCCAAACGGTCTTGATGAGTTTCTGTTAGGATTTCCCTCATTTGTCAGCTTGGCAGTTGATTATTTAAACAACTCAGCTCATGTGCAGGTTCCTGTGTCTAAGTAGATGGAGGCGCGACATACTATGCCTAAGAGTGAACGCAAGCGTCGTAGACTACAATGCGACCGTGAAATGTATGAGATCAAACTTAATGCATGAGTCCTAGATTAACAATCAAAGTGACTTCACTACAGGTGATGAGTCCTATACTTCGATTATATATAGATAAGACGATAAATAAGAAATAAACTTGGTGCCCATTCATTAGTACATATTGTATAGAAAAAACAGTAGTTCTGTTCATATCAACAAAAATCTGAGATTCAAGATTTGGACCTCTTCTAATATTGCGAGCAAGAGTACCATTACTACCACGCATACAATGAGATATTCAGTTTAGATTGGCCTCGTGTATTTTCTAAGGTACATGGAATAGAAAAGGCCGCTTGCACCCGCATCTTATGGATCAAATGGAGTTAATTTGAGAAAACTTAGTGCGAGTGGTGAGAGGAACCCAGTTATGAGAGGGTTATCCCAGATTATCTAAGGCTACCAGTAATGCTATATGTGGGTTGTTCAGTCTAAAGCAGTTTAAGATAAACACACGCAATCTATGCGAGAGTTGCAGGACAACTTCATGAGAAAGTTTGAGAGCGAGCGCAGCGTGAGAGAGTGCACATATCTCCCAACTAGCTAGGATGTGTTGCCGAGCACATGTAATGCCAATATAACTCCAACTTCTCTTCCACATGATTCCAAGAAAGGAAAACTCATATCGAAATGCTCGCTCATCACTTACATCTATGATGGAGATTGCGGGTCTCACTTTAACCCTGTACGAATTGCTTAGTAGATATAAAATGGAATACACGATAACCCTCTTTCCCAGGTGACCATATCATTCTTGCGTTGTGTACTCATGACACTTCTAAACACTCTTTGTAAGCTTTCCCCAACCTTTAGGAAGGGACCCAATTTTTTTAGCAAATGTGGTCACATGTCTTTTCAAGGATTTGCAAGTGTTTCTATTTTTTATTTTTTGGTTAGTAAAAATATACTTTAGTCTCTTCTGTTGGTAGAGCAACGCAACGCAAATGGTACTCGGGCAAAATGAGTGAACCATGCAACTTCCTAAAATGCCATACCATTCTTATGGTCGAAGATGTGCCTTACAACCTTCTTATATGGAGAGTTACGATCTATTACTACTTTTTGTTAGACTTCCAAGGTTGTGATTAGAGTGTGAGGTCACACATGAATTATGTGAGAACCTTTACTCCAACAGGGCATTGGTATCACAGCATATCACAAATTAACCTACTTACTCATATACCATTATTTAAAACGTAAGTGTGTTACTAAGAATGAATGTAACGAATGCTCAAAATAGCCCACTCTCCCTTCAACCATGTTACCACTTATGGAATGGCTAATTTCTTTACTGCTAGGAAAAGGCCGTATTGGTGATGCACATTGAGGCTTTGCTAGGCAGATCGAAACAGGTGATTAAAAAGTGAAATGACAGGAGCATAGTACGGTTCCCTAGTCACTATATCATCATTGGACCACACGAGAGTAGGGCAGGTGAAAACTTTATTCAAAACAGTGTTAGCCACCGTCTCCTAATCAGATATTATGAGAAGGCCTTAGACACTATATGGGGAAACAAATACGCCTATAGTCACCAAAATCTCCGGGTGAGTTGAAAGTAGAACAGCGGCTATATGAATCTTAGAACGCCCATTGGTTTGTCTGTGTTCAGATTCTACATCAGTTTCGATTGCTTATCGCTCTCTCTTCAATTCGTCTAAGTGGTCAAAACCTCAAGAATTTATCTTATACAGTTCTTTTTCTTACAAATGGGGTCTCTTCCGATAAGCGATGAAAGAGTCAACTATGTCTCTAATATGAGGTCAATGTTGGATCTCTTTTGTGTGAGTCGGCCCCGGGTCTCTGCATGGGACGCTCCCCTCACGTCATACATACACACTGATCCCAATAGTCCGCCCATCTTCCTAAGTATATATCCGGCTCAAGCCTTCTACGTCCAGCTCTGAGCGCCAAATCACTTTTACTGGTTGTTGAGCAGAGTTTCATTATCATCAAAAAAACACCAACCCGGTAACCTCGATATTAGTTTAAGATTGTGTTGTGGTTCTAATACTTTCAATCCTAATCATATATTAACTCGCCTATATTAACTTTCCTTACTTTTACACCCACCGATGTGAGATTCCAAACACTCCCCCTCACCTCGGGGATAACTATCCCATCCCATTCTCGTGAAGTTTCACATTGTATAAGCATTCTCTCCGGTCATCAGGTCAATTGCACCAAACCCATCCAAACGAAGCAATCCTCACAATTGCTTCCGCGGCTTCATATGCTTAAGAACGCTCCGCACTTTTGTTTGTGTGAAAGAACTTAGGAGATTGGTTGATAGCTCTTATCTGATTAAGCACGCCCAACATTCTGTGCCATAACAGCATCGGCCGGCCTTTAATTGCCGTCTAGTAAAAAGTCTTGTGCTTGTTTCCTTCCCTCTTGGAGCTTACATCAAGCTCAAAATGGTCGAAGCTTTTCACGGGCCCGAACCTGGCTCTGATACCCGGCAGGTAAAACTGGTAACAACACGCCGATTAATTAATCATTTTGGAACTCACCATGAGCACACCCACCATAAAGAGGTCGCAAGAAAATATGCAAACAGAGAAAAATAACTGGGAGTAATTAAATTATAGTGATCATCGAGTTTGAAAACCATTGCCCATAAAAACCAGCACTATAATGTATGGAACAAAGGGGATGTAAAAGAAAGGCACACTAACAAATAAGTTAAGCATACATACAAATAGTCCTATGAGTAACTAGTAGATAATTTATCGGTGGTATTTAATAAGTTAGTCTCAAGATTTGGTTTGCGCATATGTATGCCACTATTGCCCAAATAAAGGTTGTCTCATACCAGCACAAAAATGATAATGGTTATTAGAGTACTAACACCACTGCCAGGTGGAGACACCTAAAGTATTTTTGAGGACGCCTGAGGTGCTTAAAAAAATCACCCATGAAATTAATATGTAATGTACTGCACGGCGGTTTTAGCCGTGCTTCTGGTAAACATTGTGGAGAGATAGAAAATGTGTCCTTAATAGTATATAGAGGAATTTGATATGGCTGCCTGTGTAGAATAAGCTGAAATCAAAGGGAAAAAGCGTGAAGCTGCTCTTTGTAGGCGTTTTTGGATAATACACTTTCGGGTTTCTCTCATATAATTGCCTCCAAAATCACCTTCTTCTCCCAGGCACCTCTTGAACCAAGTAGCAAGAAAGCTAGCAATCCACGACGAGCAAATCACAGAGCTTCTTCTCAATGAAAAGACTGCAAACTATTAGTAAACTAGCCTTTGGGTATATTGTTTCCAGAGCACTTTTACAACAAAAGTTACCAAACACTCTGCCTGATTTATTGTCACAGCCGCTTATGTCCGTCTACTCAGCATCGCACAATTTCTCTGCCTTGGAGGTCTGAGTGTCACGTCTGGGCACACCGTAAGCTTTTTTTTTCAAATTCCTTCACGACCCATCAATACCTAAACCCAGCCCTCTAAAAAACTCACCACAAACACCTAGAGAGCCTGCTGCTCACGCACGATAGACCCTTGTGCAATAATATCAAACTGCCACTGATAGATTTACAAAAGACGTAATATACAGTCATACTGGGCCTGATTATGCTCGATGCCTCTGCGTAACCATCCTCAGTACTGACCCCAGTTTTCTGTCCACCACCCAAGCAAGAAAATAACTTTCATGTAAAGACATGGAACACCTATTGAGTGCTTTATTCGTCTAAAGTTGCTACACGAAAAGTTATATATGTTGACAGAGCCATAAGACATCCACCAACAGTAGGCTATAACACTCACGACAAATTATTGGGATTTTTGGAGTTCATTTGCTATTTCCCTTCAAATTAAACTCCGAACACACATAATCAGTGATTATTGAAACACAGATAGATTATTAAAGCTAAATGGTTCACCCCAGGAATTATATGCAAACTGAGAGAGTGTATTAAGAGCGAGTAAACTGTATGCTTACACCATGCGGGGTCCTCCCTGACTTCTAACCTTGTATAATATAAGATAAATCATGAGCAAT